GCGGGGCGCAGGGTCCCCGGCACCGCCCAGCCGCCCCTCTGGGGCAGGAAGGATTCCTCGGCCCCCGAACCCAGGCCTGGCTCTGACGCCCATGGGCTCCTGTAGGACCTTGTGTGGGACCCTGGCTCTGAGCCTGTCTCTTCCTGCGCCACCTCGCACCAGCCCGCCCAGAGCCGCGGCTAGTCACCGGCTCCGCGGCCCCCACCGCCGACCCCACACCTTTCAGCATTTTCACGGCCACCGTGTCACAGCTGCTGCCCTTGTGGATCCCGAACGCCGAGGCTTCCACCACCTTCCCGAAGGCGCCGTGGCCCAGGACTCTCCCTGTGGGGGCAGCGGGTTCCAGGTGAGCTGGAGAAGGTGAGGGTGGAGGGGACGGGCCGCCGGGGCGCCCCTGTGGAGGGCAGGAAGGAAGGCCCGGGAGAGGGAGGAAGGTCGGGAGCCCCCGGCCAAACAGGAAGAGCGGGGAGCGCAGGGGCAGAGGGAGAGGAGAGCAGACAGGAAGGCCTGCATCCTCTCCCAGCAGGTGTGCTGGGCCCACCCTGCTCAGAGCGGCGGCCCGTGACCCCGGGGCCTGGGAACGGGAGCCCTGGCGGGGTCCTGGGGACGCCCCCCAGAGGCACGGGTCAGCCAGGTGGGGCCCAGGCGGGACTTCCTGGCATGAGTTCTGAGAGTGGTTGGGTTCAGGGCTCCAGCCTGCTGCTCTGCAGCCGCCAGGCCGCCTCTGCCCGGTCGGACCGGGAGGGGGCAGGCCGGGGGCTGGCCTCACCGAGGTGCAGCCGGTCCCGGGGGAACTCCCACTGGCTGGCATCGTAGGACAGGTATTCGCACTGCTCCTCCAGGGGCACCTCCCCGGGGTCCATGATGATGGACAGGTAGCCGGTCTTGATGTCTGCGTGGGCTGGCTGGGAGTGGGGGGGGGGACAGCTTGGTTAGGGCGCATGTGACTTGGGAAACCTGTCCAGACATACGGGGTCTCCCTCGAGGCTCCGCTAAGGAGAGGACAGTGGGCAGTCTCTGGTCGCTCAGAGCCCACCGGGAGGGGTCGGGGAGATTTCCAGGGAGGCGAGGCTCCCAGGGCAGCTGGACAGGGACCCTACTCCTTATGGCTGGGGCTGGCCAAGTGGAGAGAACCCCACGGGGGCTGGGAGAGGAGCGCTCACCCTCCTCATGTTACAGAAAATGATGAGGAGCAGGACCCAGAAGAAGACGGCGATGACCCCGGTGCCGACAAGGATCACGATCTCCATGCTGCCCCGGTCCTCGGAGCCTGCGTGGCAGAAACAGCCGTGTGCGTGCGCGCGGAGGGTGCG